TGCATACTTTGAGGTATTCTCTATAACCTCATATTAAGAACACCATGGAAATCAGTCCAGTAAGTACAATGATAAAATAAATGATACTTTGTTTTATTTTCAACTTTACAAAAAGTGCACAAGGGGTTGTCAAATCTGAATTAAAGTACATATGTATTGTATAATTCTAAATTGAAACTCGTGTGATTTAGTGTATACAGCTTACCGACTTGAAAATCAAAATCATCCATAAATTTGGTAGCGCTTATCGGCCTTTGGTATTTAGAAACTTGCACTCATTGCAACAAGCTTATTATAAATACATGGTGAATGTTTTCTATTTGTGGTATGTGTTTTTTTCGTGCTTCAACCAGAGAGGAATAGAATGAATAATTTCCAGGACGCGAAAGTGATCAACACTTGATAAATTGTAAACTTCTTGAAATACAGCGGTTGTTTTTGGTGTGCCGTTGATCAATGGATCGTTTATATATGTGATGTCACTGATGATAACATTGCAGTAATATACTCACTTATTTTATGAGATGTTCCGATTGTTCCAAATTATAAATTGAGATGGGTTATTCCCAGTCAGTTTACCAGGCGGTACGAGCTTAAGATGTTTACCCCTAGCACATACCTGTAAACAAATAGACGCACGCCTTACCAGTCGAGTAATTTGATTTCTACCTGAAATTCGATTCGAAGTATTATTAAGAGCATACGGAATTTTATTCTTACATTATCTTTGATCTGCGTAATTAATAATGTTATGATACAGGTTATCCTTATAAGGATTATCCTGTTTACATGTTTCTGACAGTTATTTGCTGGCGGCAATATTTTTATTCCAGTGCCCTGGATGATGGTACGTTGAAATCATGTGTACATGGCATGCGACACAATTTTGGCAGCATGGTGGCAATTGTTGTGAAACGTGTCACTGCAACTTGGTGACTTGTTTAATTCCAGGTCAGGTCAGAGGTTATATATATAATGTGTTGCCCAGAGTGCTTTTTAGAATATATGTAAATAATGCATTTTGTGGGCTTGTAACTATGAATTGATTTATTTGTCTGGAGTACTACTTAATTTGTTTTCACGTAACTAAAAATTCCCCTGCTGATCCACGATTGGTCCAGTATATCAATCATAGGTATATAATGTTAGCCGTCATAATTTATTTTTATATTATATGTATTGTGATTATTTATGAGTAATTTGTGTAATTATATATTTATACATTACACCATTATTTATAAACGATTTGATTGCGACAGTTTATGATGTATTGGTAGTTTTTGTGAAGGCTGGTTATTTATAAATATTCATATACAATGTATATTATAACATAATATGATTAAATCATATCAAATATGACATATAAATAAAAGCACAAATGGCATCCCATAAACTAGTACATGCGGCAGTCTGTTGCACTTTGCTTACTTTTACGGTAAATTGACTTTCTATATCATGATCTCCAGGATTTTACTTCGTTTTCTCGCCATAAAACAGAATTAACTTCAATTTTTCAAAAATACTTGTTTAGAATCAATATGTGCTATTTATATTCTGGACCGAATCTTCTAAACACGACACTGGATATTGGTATAGTATAGACGGCCCCAAGCATGGATAACACGCAGTAGGAGTAAATCACAAGTGAAAATCGGACGTACGACACTAAATGGGCCTGTATCTCTTTTTAAATGATGTCGATTGCAACAATTTCACTGGTTTTACATATATCAGCGTTGACGCTACACGAAACTTCTCGAATAAGCCTCACAACAGCGGAATAACAGGATGCAAATTTACGCCACCGTACGATGCAACTATAATCGTTGTATGCTAGTACCAAGTACCATTGCTATTTCCCCACGGTTGACGTATCACATTTGTACATGGTTTTTGGTTCTTTAAATTTTGTGTTTCAGAATTACATTTAAAATGATGTTGGTATGTTTGGCACTCAGTTGGTATATGTGGAGCGAATTGTTGAGTGGCATAACCGACTGTGGCGGTGGTTTATTCCTTTGTTTTACACATTTCCTGGGTATAGGTTATTTTATGTTCCACATCAAAATACAGCCAAAACAAAGTCAGCTTGGACATTCAGTTGTGAGACATGAATTTTTTATTGAAAGTTATGCGTAAATTTGATTTTGGTAATAATTTCATTTCTTGGGTTAAAACAATTTATTCAGATTGTAAAGCATGTATTATCAATAATGGTTGGTTGTCAGCCAAACTACACCTAACACGTGGTATCAGACAAGGCTGCCCTCTATCGGCTCTGTTATTTTTACTTGTTGTGTAAATTCTTGCTTGCAAAATTAGAGCGTCAACAGCGCTTTCGGGAATCACCGTACAACTTGAAACTTTATTTAATAGGGAAATCCACATTTGCCAAGTTGCAGATGATACAACACTTTTTGTTGCAAATGAAGACTCAATTACTAAGGCCATTGACATTGTAGTTAATTTTAGCAATGTTGCGGGTCCTAAACTAAAAAAGAAAAACAGAAGGTCTCTGGGTCGGAAAGTGAAAAAACGTCGAAAAAAAATTGGTAATATTAATTGCCGATTGACCAATTAATCGTTAGGTG